GCAAAGAAGAATGAAGACCGTGATTCAGACGCAGAGGAGGTAAGTGAGAAGGAAGTCCGAGTAAAAAGGCGCAAGAGAAGAGGTAGCTCTGATGCCCTGACATTTTTGGCAGAAAAAGCAGAGAGAGACACAGAGTTGCAAAAAGAAAAACTTGCTCTGAGAAGGGAAGAATTACATCTTCAAGGTGAAGTTTAGAGGGTTCAATTGAAAATGCAAAATGACCAGCTTAAGTTGATGACAGACATTTTGGGGAAATTAGCCAAGTAAATTTTTAACTACCATTTCCTAAAACATTATACTCACTTCCTTTGTTATCTATGTCAAACATTGAGATTGAATGTATTGTTATGTTTAATAAAGCAAGTAAAATACATATTTGAATACCCTGTAACCTTTCGTTTAAGCTAAATAATGACAAACTGTTGGATGCTTCATGTGAGTAACGTTTCCATAAAAGCAAGTAAGAATGTTTCTAAACAAAGCACTGACTATGTATTGTTTTCTTACAGAACTTAACTCTAGCTTCAAATTCTTCTTAAAGTCAATGAACTTAAAATAGTCAGACACATCTCTGAATAAACAGTCAACACAAACTCTCACAGAGCTCATACTTTCCTTAAATGCTTTCATATTTGCTGTAAATACAGGAACCTCTCCAAAACGGTAGGGACACATCAAATTTGGTCGCAGTGGGTATGCAGAATCACCATATATGCATAGCAAACCTCCAGCAGGGTAAACAGCAACTTTTTCCAACAATTCTAGAAGATAAGACTCTCTTAGCATGCGGGAATCATGGCAACTGCCTTCAACAGGGCCATAGAGATTTCCTATCAAACCATTAGAGGAAGTGCCACGGATTGCATGTAAACGTTTGTGCCCATTATACACAATTCTTTGGTTCTTTCCTGGTCTACAAATAGGGCGAACTGTCCCATCCACGACGCCAAAGCAATTATTTAAAGGACATCCTTTCCTCGAAATGGAATTGGTGTATTCTTGCAGAGAAACGTTTGACAGAAATGGTTGAATCCAAGATCTTAGACAAAAGCCATGATTTTCGTAAATCCAGTCTAATACAGAGTTCGATAGCATACACAGTTCGGCACAGGCCTAGAAAATGTTGGAATCATGTCAAAATATCTCCACGGATACGCCAACCTCTTTAACAATGTACATGGCCACTTTAAACCACTGCATCGAGTCCCTTGGGAGCACACAAAGTGATCAGGAAGGCGTAGATATTCGACTAACAGTGGAATATCTTCTTTTGCTAATCTGAAGTTTGATTCACATTCACACAAAGTTATGCTATCCAAAGAAAAAGAATCATATTCCAAGTAAGGGCACGAGGGATTTGTTGACTTATACTCGTTATATAAAACGAGGAACTCTTCTTCAGTCGAAAACCTATCCGCAAAAGCCAAATTTAAAGCTGTTCTAAGTTGTTCAAAAGACATTTTATATTTTACCGTCGTGAGCACCACACGTTTCTTAAAGTAAACAACGGTTAAATTTCGCGTGCACATTGACCGTACTCGCCTCAGTCTACCTATTACACGGCCACCGTAGCCGTTAATCGTAGCAGTTGCATCTTAAACTCTCTAATAAAATTCTACAACCGTTACGTTGATGACACGCTTCCTTTTGTCAAAACCTTCAATATTTCCGCTGTCTTATCAAAATTTAATAGTTTTGAGGCCAATCTCACATTCACAGTTGATACATTTCACAATGGCATAATTGATTTTCTAGATATAAAAATTTCGGTTGATGGAACTGACATTTACCGAAAAGACACTCACACTGGTCAGCACTCACATTTCTCTAGCTTCGACCTTTTCATCAAAAAATTGCATGGGTAAAATCTCTTTACCACCGTGCCTTCAAAATTTGTAGCAATAAAACACTTTTCCACAATCAAATTGAAATAATCAACTCTTACATGTTTTGGAACGGTTACCCTAACAGCGTTATATACTTTGTACATACAATGATTCTATTCCCATTACAACCGCTCTTCTATAGATGATAACCTCAATCTAAGGAATATCAATATAAGGAATACGAGCGTGCGTGGCGATTTCCTCTTAAAGTCCTGTGCCCATTAAAGTCCTGTGCACATTATTCAACGCCCCATGTGGAAATCAACTTGTATGTTGACAATGGTAAGCGTGTTAAAATAAAATTATCTATCTATCTATCTATCTATCTATCTATCTATCTTTCCTGTTTTAAGAAAATGCAAAGACATCTTTGTCAACCGGTGAAATTTGTTAATATTTATGACACTAAAAAACTGTCCTATTTTGTCTATAACATCGACAAACTTCCTTCACTTTTTCGCAGCAATCTTCTATACAAAATAACTTGCCCTGGCTGTGGTAAAACCTACATCATCATGACACGAAGACGTCTGTCTGTACGGCTGAGAGAACATGAAACCAGACTCTCTTCTAGTGCAGTTGGCCATCATTTCTCTGAGTGCGAAAACGCTCAATTCATGGCTACTCTACAAAACCAGTTCTCACAACTCAATGATCTCCCTCCACCTCCCAGAACTCCCTCTACTATGGAAAACCTTGTATTCAACAACTATAAAATACATCACTCAACCAAATTTAACAACTACCACATTCTTGCTTTTCTTGAAACACGAAACACTTCTCATCAAACATAACAAAACTTTTCTCAACACGAGACTTAATGCTAGCAGAGAATTACAACTCTTCTCTTAAATTATAATACATTTATTTTACTAGTAGGGTCAGCAGTTTCAATTCATCCTTTGAAATACTACACTTCTTCCAACTCTGCCTTTGTAAATATCACACTATTTAATTTCTATTGCTTACTTCCGTTTACTTATGTCATGCGTAGTAAACATATATGTGTATGTTTGGTTTGAAATATCATTCTGTCTGAGGATGACTTTGAAATAAAGTCGAAAATTTACAGTTCTCTTCACGTCTTGTTTTGATTTATATTTTGCAATCTTAAGATGCCTTGCTTCTTTGGAATTTGTTTTATATTACATATTTTTTGGTCATGGCTTTTTCAGTCAGCATGTGTTTTATTATGTACCAATTTTTTAAAGAGAAAAGTGACAACAATGTAAATATTGACTTTCCTAAAAGAATATGTGAACAAACAACATAAAAATATTTTTGTAAAGGCGCTGACCGAGGTCGGTCATATTTTTGACTCACACGTGACCCGCTCTCGACTAATGAAACAGTAGGAAAAATAAACTTTCAAAATTAGTAATATGAAATTATTATTCGCTTATGCAAATAACTCCTTTGTTGTTCACTCATTGATCACAGGAAAAAGTGAGCAGAGAAGAAAGAAAACTGTTTCCAATTTTAACACTAATGGGAAATGCATTCGCATAAAACAGTATTTTTTCACCTAATGAAACAAATCCGGGCGAGTTATAACAGTAAATAATACGCATTGTAAAGATTACTGTATTATAATAAACTAAATAGTAACAAACTTTCCCAGTAATTTTGTATATTTTAAAGTGTGTTCCTCCCTCTTATCGTTTCTCCCTGATTAACATATCTCCTATTTACAATTTAAGATACAAAATAACGCGCGGAAGCAATAAAATTATTATTCGCTTATACAAATAACTCCTTTGTTGTTCACTCATCGATCACAGGAAATAGTGAGCAGAGAAGAAAGCGCCAATTTTCACACTAATGGGAAATGCATTCGCATAAAACAGCATTTTTTCACCTAATGAATTAAATCCGGGCAAGTTATAACAGTAAATGATACGCATTGTAAAGATTACTGTATATATACGTTTTTATGTGCAAAGTGTATACTTTTGTACATTTTCCTATAGGCAAAGGAAATGTGCAAAAGGAAAAGACATATTATTTATAGCGAGCAAAGAGTTTCTTATGTTATATTTTTCCACAATGGAAAAATAGTTTTCCTAAGCCAAATGCTTAAGATCAGCTGTCCAGTTGGTTAATGTCACAAATCACACCTCAAAACATTTTGCATAAAAGAAAATTTGGCATACTTATTCAAACTTCAACCATACTAATCACAATGCTAATTATATCACTTATAACTAATTATAAGTGTTTTGTTATTTTTTAAAATTGATTGATTTATGGAATTGATTGAAAGAAATCAAATTTACAAAACGAAATATACTTGGTTCGCGTGCTTTTTCAATGATGTTTGAGAAAAACTCGTGGAGTAATTAATCATAGCTGAAAGTCATATCTATTACCATATCCGTGTTTTACCCTTTCTGGTAAAAACCCTTGAAACACACGTTTTGTATGATATTAGCTCCTACGTCTTTCCGTCCGTCTTCGAATGTCATCCGTCCGTAATTTTTCATCCGCAGTAATTGTCCATCCGTCCGTATCCGCGTTTTACCCTAACCCTTGCCTAGACCGCATTCTTTTACTAGTGTATATTTATACCAAAGTGCGCTCGGAAATATACAATCACCTACATGTCCTCAGTTGCGAAATAAACGTAAGTATAAGCACAAGATTACCCAACTCTCCGTTATTCTTATGTTTATACCAATGTTTATGTCGCAAGTTAGGACCAGGAGTAAGTGCTGATAATTGAAATTCGTTTCGTGCTGTCGAGTTTATTTATTGTAATACCTATAGTAAGATGTTGTAATACCTTAAGACAATCTTACAATCTGTAAAATCGTCATGTTCGCTGAAATCATCTTGCAAAAACTGTTTAAATGCAAGTGTCTGTGTGAATGTATTAGCTATGTAAGTGAAAACATTTAGCACCTATGTATCGCTAAAACAATGTATATTAACGTCATATGCAATCACTTGGTTAAACGTGACCTTGTGCCTCAAAAAGCAGTGAAGTGTAGCAAATGACTACGTGTAAAACATTAGAAAAGTTGTCTTAAAGGTCATTACTGATTTGATATCATCAGGCTTCGGAAGAGCTTGCGATAAGAAGTTGACAAGTTTGCTAAAAAGTCAAAGGTAAGCTTGCTAATTTTTGTTATAAGATGCTTTCTTTTCTAAATCTAGTGGTCGCACTTTGACAATTAACGTAAATTAACCAAAGTAAAGAACTACTGCCTTGCCACGTAGTAGGAGGTTTAATTTCAATACGTTTTGTCGTAGAACATTTCAAATAAAGATTTACAAAATGTCCGTAAAAGCGAGATGACGGTGAAATGGGAGTTTGTGTAAGAATGTAATTGAAAACGAATGAAAATCTTGGAAAATCCTGTTCACAAATTTGATTTGAATGAGTAAAGATTTTTAATAATTTAAATAAGCCAAGGTTTGAGCGGAAATTGTAACAAACTGCGTCGACATAAGCACAAGAATTAACTAAAAGAGCATAAACCGAAAAAAAATAAAAGTAAAACAATTCTGGAGCGAAACAAAAATTAAGAGAAATTCTGGCTGTTGAGGCGTGCTCTTGGGTAGACCAAATAATTTAAAGACAAAAATTTGCATAAGCAATCTCGTACAATGATTGCTTTGTATTCTTTTTCTGAGTGCCACTGACTTAAGACAATCTTACAATCTGTAAAATCGTCATGTTCGCTGAAATCATCTTGCAAAAACTGTTTAAATGCAAGTGTCTGTGTGAATGTATTAGCTATGTAAGTGAAAACATTCATCACCTATGTATCGCTGTAAAAATTTATATTAACGTCATATGCAACCAATTGGTTATACGTGACCTTGTGTCTCAAAAAGAAGTGAAGTGTAGCAAATCACTCCGTGTAAAACATTAGAAAAGTTGTCTTAATGGCCATTACTGATTTGATATCATCAGGCTTCGGAAAGCTAGCGATAAGAAGTTGACAAGTTTGCTAAAAAGTCAAAGGTAAGCTGTCTAATTTTTGTTATAAGATGCTTTCTTTTCTAAATCTAGTGGTCGTACTTGACAATTAACGTAAATCAACTAAAGTAAAGAACTACAGACTTGCCGTAGTAGGAGGTTTAATATCAATACGTTTTGCCGTAGAACATTTCAAATTAAGATTTACAAAATATCCGTAAAAACGAGATGACGGTGAAATGGGAGTTTGTGTAAGAATGTAATGGAAAACGAATGAAAATGTTGGAAAATCATGTTAACAAGTTTGATTTGACTGAGCAATGATTTTTAACAATTTAAATAAGCCAAGGTTTGAGGGGAAATTGTAACATCTGCGTCGACGTAAGCACAAGAAGTAATTAGAAGAGCATAAACCGAAAAAAATAAAACTAAAACAATTCTGAAGCGAAACAAAAATTAAGATAAATTCTTGCTGTTGATGCGTGTTCTTGGGTAGACCAAATAATTTAACGACAAAAATTTGCATAAGCAATCTCGTACAATGATTGCTTTGTATTCTTCTTTTGTGCGCCACTGACTTAAGACAATCTTACAATCTGTAAAATCGTAATGTTCGCTGAAATCACGCGAAATCACTTAATGAAGCAGTATAGTTTGATTCAGTATTTACCCATTATCATCTCATTATTGAAGACAAGAAATGTTGTCTGAATTGTTCAATACCTACGATGTTTTGATTATTTGTACAATACCTTTATTAAATCGCATGCTATGTTTTAAGTATATAGTATTACTGATTTTACGTTTTACATACGTAAAAATACTATATAATATATCTAGGTAAAACTTTACGTATTGCTTAAGAAGTACCAAGATAAATTAAAACATACGAGGCTACGAGTAGAAACAGCTGAGTATACTCACAAAATATCGCATTCAAATTGTGTTGTAAAATTAGATTTTTAAGTCAAAGAGTCAACAAAAGAATCGTTTATTACCTTCTGCTGCGAAGTATTAATAGCGCGTCATAAGGAATATCAAATTTCTTTCTTCGTCAATAAAATGCTATCTTTAATAGTTTCCACATTCACAAAACCTATTATTCTTTTTATTAAATAAAATTTTTACCTTAAAACTGATAATTCGCATTAGAAAGATGTTAGTTTCTGACTTCCAACCAAAAAATGAGAAGATCGTTTAAAATAAAAGAGTCTTTGTCATAAATATTGTGCTCTTTGGCGGAGGTCACAAGCATTGACTGCAAAAATTAAAGGAAAGGCCGACTCGCGGACATAAATATATATAAACGCCTTTTTTCACTTTTCCGGGCTAACATTTACTTTAATTGTATCCAGTCAATAACCAAGACTGCATTTAATAATGATGAAGTATTTAGTGGGTTTTACAAAGAGCTTTTCTTGAAATATTCCATATCCTCCAGGAAATTCACGTAATTCCAGTTATTATTTCAAATATAGGTGAAATTTCATTGAATTTGTTGCTGACGTATACAACAACGTAAACATTCTTGTTTTAGCAAAATGCCTGGTAGGTCGTAATTATAAAGTGTTATATATAGCTATGTCACATATCTCATTTAATTTCCGGTTCACTTTATGATTATAAATTGTAAATATTTAACAATAATATGAAATGAAAGTCGTGTTTCATAGGGCTTAATCTTGGATTTGAATTATTTGCCGAAAAGTTTGGAAAAAAAGAGCTCGAGAGGAGGATAAAAGATGAACACACGGTATATTTTTACCTTTTTTGAATTTTATGTGTAAAAATTGGCACACCACATTCCACAAGATAACTATGAAGAGACTTGTGTTAGCTGAAGTTTTTTTTTCTTGTATTGAAGTACTAAGATAGACACGTACCATTCTACTTCTATAACTTTATTTCTACTCCTATAAACAGTATAAAATACCGTTTGATCCTGGATTTCTTTGTAGTGTTTAAAACTGCACTAAAAATTCTCAAGTATCACGGGAAAAAAATTCCAGGTTGTCAGAAGCGTTTCCATCTGTAGCTAAAAGTTACTCTGCAAGTTTTGAGGAATTTAAATTTGCACTAAAAAAACTCAATGGGCTATTTTTTCTCTGTTATGTAAAATGGTTTTTACGTCATACCCAGAACCTGTTTGATATAATTTCCACTTCTTTCTTTTAAGCCACCACGGAAATACCCAATATTTGGAGGACTTAAATTAGAGCTTCAAAAACAGAAGTTCGAAACTATGTTTACACTAGCGACAATGTTGGGTGGTTTTCGTAGAGCAACACACACAGTTGGAACTGGTGGTGTTGGCAAAATAAAGATTGTTGATGATCCGAAATTTCCAGAACATGAATTTTTTAAAGCTGGTGAGAACTAAATCACATTTTTTAAATACTTTTTTTACAATCTTTGGTTTTGGTTGCCTGTTAACTTAAAGTAAGATTCCGCACATTTATTTAAAATCATGATAATTTGATGTGATTTCTTTATTTCGTAACAAATATATGTTTTATATGAGCAATCATGTACATTTTAAATCTGTTGGAGGTGCTCATATCATGTAATTGGGTAATAAGACTTTTGCATTCAATATCTTCAAAAGTATGTGTAGTTGTCTTTTTTTATTACACATCATTATTCTTAAAATTTTGTTATTTTCGCAACGACATTGAAGGGGTCCAATGGAGGGCTCTAAAAATTATGCTTTCTTTAATGGGGAAGATGTTCGATTTACGAGCACCCTTCTGTTGTAAGAAAGACGTAAGATGTCGTGTGAAGAATTTAAATGCACTTTTGCATGAAAAGCTTTCATTGTCTACTGATATCAGAAAGATCATGAAAACCGTGCATTCACAATAATTAAAACTAGAAATACGGTGCATTAAGTTCATACCATGGATTGAGGCAATTTATAGAAATAATTAACTAAATAATTTATAGAAGCTTCCAAAAGCATGTATAAGATATCGCTCACAAAAATAACGCAGTTTATTTTTTAAATTTTTCTTTTTTTAAATTTTATGCATGATGTGACATGGACCACAAGCAACTTTGCTCTTATACACATCACAGATAAAAGGAATGCATTGTAGCTATAACTACAGAGCCACGCAGATGAAGCAGAAACTACATATAGAACTAAAACTACATATGACTCATCAAAGACAATATTGTTTGTAAAAATTTTAAAGTTGATAAAACCATTTTTGAACAAATAGGTCGCCAATTCGATGCAAGGTTGCGACATGGAAATCTCAAATTCACTGATGATGCTGGAGCTGACGCCAGATCATTTTCAATAAAATTTGCGGACGCCGACGACAAAAGTCCTCTGGATATCGTCATGAATACAGGCGAGGCCAACATCTTTTGGGATGTCAGCAGTTTAGACGACTTTGTTCCAGTAAATGAAGGAGACACAGCAAAAGAATACGTTTACAAAAATCCTTACTAGTAAGCATTTGTATCACCAGATATGCAGCCGAAAACTTTAAAATAAATAAAGCTATGCAACTTCATTTAATATGGATATATCATTTACTTATAGATTATTTCATTTACTAGCCTGCTAGCAGTAGGATAGCCATCCTGAAGATTTACTCCAGCTATGTAAATTTTAAATATTTACCATCATTCATTTCTCTAGAAATATATTGTTCTCACAATATTAACTGTTAATACAAAAATATTTGCATAGCGAGTAAAGAGTCGGGCTAGCTACGCTACAGCCTGCAAGTAAAAACAACGATTATCTTTATATTTTTCTTTATTCTAATAAATTTTTCAAAATGAAACTAAAAATCTCCTGACACCATCCTAACTTTCACATTTTCATAAAGATCATGGTTCTTGCATAGTTTCTTATTTGTATAAAAACGTATTATGGACTATATTCACCATGCATAATTAAAACCTGAAATCTTGATCATTCGAAACATTGTCTGTTTTGCTAGTTACTACAATTTTGTGGAGGCACTACGTCGAGCACCTGACTCATTTGCTCATCTCTACTATTATTCTCAGTTAACCATGTATTTCAAAGCAAAAGATGGTAAAGTTCGATATTGCAGATATCGAGCAGTTCCAGGTGATATCAATATTAAGGAAGAAAATGAAAGCGGAAGATTGACTGCAGACGAACAAAGAAATATTTGGTTTGTGTATTTCTTTGGAAAGCATTTCCTATTTTAAGTCATACACATATGCTTTCTTCATAATACTGAACTGAAGAAAAGACGAACAATGTTGTTTGATTATTAAGTAAAGAATACATTAAATGAAACGTAAACTAAATAGTTATAAAATGTGCTCATGAGTTAACGACACCCATCTCTACTTGAATTAAATGATAGTTTCACAGTAATATACTTCTATAGCATGAGCTAACATGGTTTGGTCAGACTAAATCATAACAAGAACGTCCAAATGTCTTTTAGCAATACGAGAGTATGCGATTCAATCTAACAGTAGCTTCCAACACATTTGAATTATTTTGGCAGATATCAGGGTGATGCAGGCTTATAACTAATTGTGTTCATTGTAGTATAGTAGAATGTGGATTTGATATAGATTCATGGATAATAATAGAGATTATAGAATTAGAAATAGAAATTGAAAAAATAACTTCAAAATTATTTAATAAAATACACTCTCGTTTTTTTTAAGGATTTTTAGTCGTCACGAGAATGAGAAGCGACCAGATGATTACCTTCGTAAGGAATACGTTAAACGTCTGAAAAACAAACCGATTACTTATCACTTGCAAATCCAAATTCACGATAAATCCCCTGAAGACACAGCAACCATTTTTCACGCAGGGATCTTATGGGATAAGGACACACATCCATGGCTTGACTTAGCCACTGTCACCATAAAGACTCGTTTATCCCCAGATGTAATAGAACGGTTAGTTCGACAGCAGCAAGCTATAATTGTGAACATAATTTTGTGCTGCAATTACCAAACTAGTCTCGATAAAGAGCGTTATGTGTGTGTATTGAATATTAATATCGATTGATTTAAGATCATTTATTCCTTCTAATTAAATATTAATGTTCTAAATTATATGTAATAAGATTAATTAACAAGCCTTTACAAACAATAATTTTCACTCATCATGTCAAAGCTATTGTATAAAAGTTTTAAAAGATTTTGTTACTCTTCACTCTTCTGTGTATGATGAATGTAGCAAAGAAAACGTATTTAAGTCATTGATAGTGTGCAAAATACACTACTTTACGTGGCAAATAATTTTATTAATTCAATGTTTACATTTAGTACGACTTTCAATATCGTGCGTCAGCCGGAATCACTTGGATTGTTGGAAGCCGAGTCACCCGAAGATTATAACAGCATTGGTGAAATAAGAGTTAGAGTTTATGATCGTGTGCAAATGCTAAGAAAATTGAAGATAGGCTCAATTACTCCAGCTGATCAAAATGCTATTTACACAATTGAAATTAAAACGGGCAACAGAAAGAATGCTGGCACCGATGCCACCGTGTATATCAGACTAACAGGTACCAAAAAGGGTGTATGTTTACCATACGAGGATTTAGAATGGAGAAATCGTTACTGTTCATTTATACACATCATAACTTATAAAACTGTTTGTGCATTGTGCATGGCATACCATTAAATTAAGATTGTATCATATTTTTGTCATTAAGGTTTAAAAGGTCGCACAGAGTATTTGAAACTTGATAAATCATTTCACAATGATTTTAAACGTGGAAGTAAAGAGGTTTATAGAGTGGAAGCATTGAATGTTGGTGAAATTGAACTGGTTGAGCTTAATGCACGTCCGGCTTGGATTACAGTTACAACTAAAGACCCAGACTGGTTTGTTGAAAAGGTATAATTTGATGGACCTCGTGATTAAAAAAATATTGACTCCATTGCAAATAAAAAATTTCCAAAAATATTTTCTCTAAGGTAACTGTCATGAGTTCAAGACATAGTGGTGTTTTTTCCTTCCCTTGTTACAGATGGGTAATCAATGAAATTGTTCTGCTGCCTGGAAAAGGTAATGCGTTATACATTTGTTATTTTGATCAGAGATATTTTTCTATATGATTGGTTTACTTTGATCTTAAGTGGAAGGAAATCAGGGGATGTCTGTGATATGATTTCGATAGTTTAAATTACAAATAAGTCTTCACACTTATCAACAATTTACCTGAAGAAAAAAGTGCGTAAGATTCTGATATTCTTCTCATCTCAACACAGGCAGATACAGTTAAACCTAATATATTGATACAGAATACATTATTTCATGACAAATTGAAAAAAAAACTTAAGCAAACTAATTAACTGTTACTAAAAAGCAATAAAGTATTCATGTTTGTGGATGAAGAACGTCCAGGTTAGTAGAGTCTTGAGAAGGACTGTTGGTATTGATGTAGACTGACGTTTTGACATCCTTGGCCGGAGTCATCTTCAAAGTCACTGGCAAACATGTTACGATACTCCCTGGGTTCAAACCATTTATTTTAGTATTCATTTTGTTATATAACATTGCTATTGGTAAGATTAATGTTGAAGTTTTTAAATGAATGTGGCTTTAAAATTACAAAACAATCAGCAGTTACAACATTTAAAACAATCAGTAAAGGCTTTCGTAAAATGTTGCCAGTTCAATAAAGAGTAAAAGTAAAATTTGAATTGTCAAATTTCTTGTTGCGTTTTATTCAAACATGAATGGTATAAAAGTATTCACATTATGAAAAATCTAATCCAAACATTTGTATACCGTGTAGCAACTTTACCATTCCATGATATGCCACCGGTAGTTGCCGAGCAACGCCAAAAAGAACTAAAGCAAAGAAAAGAAATATATCAATGGGATTGGGTAACAGAGCACATGCCTGGGAGCATTAAAGCTGAAACTCATGCCGATCTTCCTAGAGATGTCCAGTTTACTGATGAAAAATCAAGGTCAGAGCAGGGAATTATAAACTACGAATGCATTATTAAATTGGTGTTTTTGTATTTGTTTATGTGCATAAACATGTTAATTGTTGAACATTTTATTTAATGATAAATCTGTGCATTTTTTAAAAATAAGTCAAAATTCAACCACCGTAGAGTTAAATTTTTACAATGAAGTTATACAATGTGTTACTGACGCAACCCTTGCCATATTTATTTAAAAATTCGAAAGTAATGGTGTTACCTATATAATGTATCTGATGTTATGCTAATTATGTTAATAACTGTATTTACACCCTGAACTCTCAAAAAAAATTTTTCATAGATGATGGTATGGATGTTTTGATGGAATATATTATCACAAAAGCAAATATTTTAATCCATGCTTATTCATGGTCTTTGATAACTCCAATATATATGACTAAATGTGTAATATTAATCTACAGCTGTGTTGTAAAATAAACTTTATATCGCACATCAGCAATATTATGTTCAAAAAATTCTATTTATATACTTACCAGATCCTATAAGAGGAGCAGATTGACTGCTTTAGCCAATTTGGGCCTCAGTAAATTTGCAACGCTATTTGAAGATTGGGACAATTTTGACGATTACAAAATTCTATATCACAAATGGCTACTAGGTGATCTTCCAGTTTATGAAAGCTACTGGGATCAAGATCGCTGGTTTGCCTACCAGTTCTTGAATAGTGCTAATCCAGTTAGTATCACACGATGTGACGCTATACCAAAGAAATTCCCCGTAACTGACAATGATGTCAAGGCGTTTCTTGATAGAGGAAAGTCTTTGAAAAAAGAAATAAAGGTTAGCAAGTCATATATGTTGTACTTGTGATACTTTTACATAGAGAAGTGGTTTCAAATTCATGAATTACTCGACCTTTTTATATGTTGGTTACAGCACAATAAAAGATCTGAATACTTACTTTGAATCTACATTATGGCACTGTTGCTACATCACTATGGAAACTCCTTAGCTAATCTGGACTTTAAATTACAACCTTCTTACACAAAATGTGATATTTAAAGTTTATAATAACACTTTGCTGTACCACGATGCATAGTTTTCGAAACGGGGGCTATAAGAAAACATATTCTACAGACTTATGAAATCTTGCTAAGATAGAAAAATATGCTCAAAAAACATATTATGTCACGTTATAAACATTTGTCTTAAAAATATTTCGTCATGCTCTCAAGCAGCAAAACGAGACATCATTTCTCCATGCATGCCCCGATCGACAATATTTTAAAGTTAAGTATACTTAACATCCCTAAAACGATTAGTTAACTGCTCACCCAGCTTACGTTTAAAAAGAAAAAATGGAGATATATCATTATATTTATAACCGTACATCCTTTGTCCCAAATGCAGGAGTCACCATTGCACTATGGTGATAGCCTTGAGGGCACATTGTATATACATTTTGTATATACTCAGAACTGTCATATTTTATTAATAAGTATAAAAATTTTGACTTATTTTATGTAGAAAGGCCATATTTATATTGTTGATTATGAAATTTTGGTTGGATGTAAAACATACGGTGGACCTGTTCTTGATGATTTTGGTTACCAAGCCCCTGATCATCTTAAACATGATAAAGCTGATGTAAGATACTGCGCAGCCCCAATTGCTCTATTCTATGTGAATAAACAAGGACATCTCATGCCAATAGCAATCCAAATTAATCAAGAGCCAGGTCCTGAGAACCCAATATGGACGCCACACGAACCAAACCCATATGATTGGATGCTAGCAAAGCTTTGGCTTCGTGTTGCTGAATCTAATTTCCACCAGGTTTGTTTGTCTGAGTTTACACAGCAAACTACGGACTATTTTTTTCAGCTACATAATTCATCTGCACAAAGATGACTTGAACATTAAAGTGCATTCTTTCAAAGTTAAAAGACTTGTTAAATATTACACAAGAATTTTATTGCAGATAATTGAAGTATTTAACGTCTTTTTTGTAGCTTTGTACGCATTTACTGCGCACTCACTTAACAACCGAACCATTTGCATTGTCAACATGGCGTAATCTTTCATCAGCTCATCCAATATTTAAGTTACTTCAACCTCACATCTATGGAGTGCTAGCAATTGATACTATTGGCAGGAAAGAGTTGATTGGTAAAGGAGGAATTGTTGATCTGTCTTTGTCACTGGGAGGTGGTGGTCACGTGACGTTCATGGAGAAATGCTTTAAGCAGGTTTGTTGCCTCTTTTACAAATATAACATCAATCAAATTTCAAATTAAAATTGTATTACGAAATCATTTGGCAAAACGTTTTCATACATTAAATTTCCCTTTAAAAGACCACCACTTCATTTGCCTTTATTAGACCACATTTCAGGATTACAATTTACCAAAGAATCTAAAAAAACGTGGAGTTAATGATCCATCAAAACTTCCTGAGTATTATTATCGTGACGACGGACTCGCCCTGTGGGAAGCCATTGAAAAATTTGTAGGTGAAATAGTTGGTATTTTCTATAAAAGAGATGACGACGTCAAGAAAGATGATGAAATTCAGAATTGGATACTTGATGTTTATAAAAATGGCTGGCGTGAGACGCTTGGAAATCCAACCCACGACCTCCCCGCCAAGTTTGAGTCTCGAGAGCAACTTGTAGAATTGTTGACTTGTTTGATATTTACGTTTTCTTGTCAACATGCAGCAGTAAACTTCAGTCAAAAGGATCATTATGGTTTCACACCTAATGCTCCTGCTATCATGCGTAAGCCACCGCCAAACAAGAAAGGAGAAGCAACATTAAAGTCCATTCTATCAACTCTTCCAAATAAATCTCAGGCAGTCAAGGCAATAGCGACAGTTTATATATTGACCAAATTTTCAAAAGACGAGGTATTGATTTGTTCCTTTGTTATTAATTAGTGACAATTATTTATATTCCTGTGATTGCTTCGTTCCGTCTAAGTAAGAGTCAAAGAATTTCTTGAAAGGAAAAGCACTATCACATTTACACAGTCAATCTAATGCATTTTTGTATTTCTAGTTACTCATGACCAAAAGTAATACTATTAATCATTGTCTTTTGAAAACCCGAGTTTATGCATTTAATTTAATATTAATTGGTATAGATTTTGTGTATAGAGTTATGTGTGTATGGCCTAGATAACAATACTATATTAAGACTCTAACTGGTAAACTAGCTCTTTTAAAAAATTAATTAATTAAGTATTTCTATATATTTTAGCGTTATTTAGGTAATTACAGCTGCACTGCTTGGGAGGATTTGGAAGCCCTTGGTGCCATATCACGCTTCCAAAATAATCTGGAGAATATTTCCGAGAAAATCAAAAAGCGAAATAAAGATTTGGAAATTCCGTACATTTATCTTCTTCCTGAACGTGTTCCAAACGGAACAGCAATTTGAACTTCACTCAATTTTTGTCAAGTTTCTCATTTTCCACGTGACTGCTAGTAAACTTATCGATATTAGGCCTAATAATTTGAAGGAAACGTATAATGTAATTATTCTTATACATAATTATTTTGGTCCTCACTTGGACAGCTTAGATGATCTGACTGCACACCATAATTCTGGGTATAGTCATTGATTAGTTGATATAACTGCACAACACCTTGTGGTACAGTCATGGCAAAGTTGATATCACCGTACATCATTTTTGTGAAACAAATATGAATTAGTTGATATTAAAAAAGTTTCCTTATTAATTTTCTTTTAATTTCCTTCATTTTTTTGTTCTTTCCGTTTATGCATGTGCATATGTCGACTTGATGAGTTATGGAGTTTTTTATTAACGGCTTTTTTCTATATTGCTTGTATTTATTTCATCAGTGAGAATAAAGCCTTAAGACTGCAGTTTTTAAAAGTGGAATATTTTATTCTAAGGCCCAGTTCAAACGTCGCATTTTACATGCGCCGAATCAAATGCGAGAATTATGTGCATGTAAAATGCGACGTTTGAATCAATTAAATTCAACGGATTTTAATTTAATGCGACTTTAGTCGTATATTCGACAGAGTTAGTCCAATATTCGACGAAAATTCGATGTTGATTCAAACGTCGCATTTTACATGAGCCGAATTTAATGCATAATTTTTTTAAAGATATTTCTAAGCAAAAAGCAATTATTTCCATGCTAAATGCCATGCGCAAAGTTGTAAAAACATGGCGGCGGCGAGTGATGGTAATGGCCCTCGTATTTCGTGCACAAGTTTAACAAAATACACTTGTTTAAAGTGCAAAATTTTTATGTACAAGGTGCTCTATTTTGAAGACGACGAAGAGAGTGTTGGTTGGAAAGCAGAACGAGCGGTTTCTCGTTGCAATGCATGCTTTCGTGAAAAGATTGGGAGTGAGGAAGTCCATCAGTAAATTGGTAGGAGTACATATTTTCGGGCGAGCATACGTTCATTTCGACTGTCCTCTTGTGAGAGCACCGAAGGCGAAGTAGAATCGACCAAGGCCATTAAAACAATTGAATAAAAACTCTTGTAGTTATGATATTCTTTGCACGCTTGAAGACCACCGGAATTTTATAGGAATATGAAAACAATCCAAAGCATCCCAGATACAGGGAAATTGCAATAATTCTTCCATGTCCACGATTTTTTTCTTGAAATCAGTCTGACATTTCGGCATGTTTTTTGAAATGATTTCATTCCATAAGTATTCAACGCGAAGTTGACATACCTGCTGCACAATAGTGCTCACCGTTGATACCCCTCCTCCTGCCATTTCAGCGATGGTGTAGAAGTAATCTCCTCGTCCCAATCTGTAAAGGCATATACCAAGTCATTCCCCCGGAGAAATGGGTACCTCTGTGACAGTTTGCTTTTGAAGTATAGGTCGAATACGACTTAAAATAAAAAGAAAGTTTCCTCGAGATACACGAAATGTTTTTTTGAATCGAAGATCAGAAAAAATACTCCCAACTTTCTTCCACCAGCCGGAATTTCTATCTTGTCTTCGACATGATCGATAAGGAGGGCTACGTATGAAAGCATTTTTTTTGACCAATTAACCGTAGAAAAACATGGGAAATTTGCAGAAGCTGCCGTCTCGTTTCCAATAGTTTATTTGCTGTAACATGCATCAATATTCGTCTTTTCCTATTAACACGAATTATATTTGAAATGCATAAACTCAACATTTTCCTGTTCGCCATTTTAGGAAATTAGTACAAGAAAATGAATAAACTATGAAAAAGTGGAAGCATAACAATAATAAGTGCGACTATTAAATTCGACGTCTGAATCAAACTACGCATAAAACTATTTTAGTCGACTAAAACTCAGATTTGATTGGCGCATGTAAAATGCGACGTTTGAACCGGCCCTAAGGTCTGTTTCAAACGTCGTATCTCACATGCGCCTAATGCAATTAAAACAAAAGATATTGAGGAATTTTATGTCATTTTCTATTGTTTTAAATGCATTCCGCGCGTGAAAATTTGACGTTTGAAATGGGCCGAAGCTCAGAATACATTACAGAAGCTTTTGTAATAGACACTCCCAAATGCGTATCTAGGGCACGTAAAAATAAATTGCTACATCGCAGTTTTGAATAAATTCACATTTCTAAGCACCTTAGAGGCAAATAATCCAAACCCATTGTTATAATGTTGTGCTTTCAAAATTCACAACAAAAGTATTATTCTAAAGACACTTTGAATTTAAAATTGGCAGCTATAGCTTCTTTCATGAACGCTAAGATCCGGTATAGTGGCCCACCAAGCGAAGAAATATTGGTTTTCAAAGAAGTGAGATAAAAGTCAATTTATAAAACAATCACGGCTTTTAAAGGACCGGTAATTTGCAGCAAATTTGATAGTCTGTTAGCCACATATCTAAACAATCTACTAGAAAGAACATTGACTTTGGGATGATAAAGACATAAACTTTATCTTTTTGGTGAAAAATGAAATATTATTATCATTACAGCAAATTACTTGAGTAAATATAACTTATCAAGCATTTGAAGCATTTTTGATATCTTAATTATATTGCATAAAAATTGCAAACAAACAAAAAAACATTTATATCTATAGCGTTGGTTCATCATCATATTGTTATTCCATTTGGAACACATTCTGGCAGAAGATAAGTGTAGGGAACTTCCAATGTTTTATTTCGTTTTTCAATCTTCTCAGAAATTCTTTTTAGGCTATCCTGAAATCGAGAAATCGCACTTCGTACATCTTGCTCGGTCCAGTGAGTGCCACGGTAGTCACCCATACAATACTGCAAAAAATTCAAAAAACTTAATTTAATAAAATACCACTGAAATAAAATGTTACAATGTTATTGCTTAGCTGAGATAAATAGCTCATATAAAAACAACAACAAAACAACCATCTGCATCCACTCGTCTGGTACATAAAACACGGCAATGAATTGCGTTTAAATTTTCTCATTCTAAAAGACTCTCACTTTTTCTATATCTTGGTCAGTAGAAATGATAAAACAAAGTCTTTCTTCATTATAATCAATAACCGAGTGCACTGCCTAAAACAAGTTTTTTGTAATACTTTAAGAAAAATTTCTTAGTACTCAAAGCAATAATTCAATTTGTGTTTTTACAAGAGAAATGCAAAAAAATTGCGAATATTCTTACTCAACGGAAAGAGTGGACTACACAATCACACGTTCATTTGAAATGAAAACGTCCCTTAAGCTTTCCTCAGTAAGCAATGTTGCTAGTATTGGTGTTCATCATACCTCATCTTTTGAAAAGTTTGAAATTACACTGATTGTTGATATTGCTTTAAATGCCTGCTCTTTGTTTGGAAGTGTTAACAAAATGGACAAATTTGATGCCTCTCCTCTTTTTGTGGGTGGTGGCTTGCGCATGATAGCCGGAGCGTTAGGTGTAAATCCACAATGATCCTTTTGACTGAGTTTTACTGCTGCATGTTGACAGGACCAAGTAAATATCAAAATAGTCAAGATTCTTACAAATTGTTCCGAGATTCTAACTTGGATGGGAGGCCATGGTAGGCAGCTTTCTCCCTCCAGCCATTTTCATAAACGTCAAAGATCCAGTTTTGAACTTCATCATCTTCATTGACGTCTTCATCACTCCTATAAAAAATGCCAACCATCTCACTGACAAATTTTTGAATGGCTTCCCACAGGGCGAGTCCATCGTCACGATAATAATACTCTTGAAGTTTTGACGGATCATCAACTCCACGATTCTTCAAAGAATTTGGGAAGTTGTAATCTTCAAAATTCATCTGTTTAATAAATCAATATGAAATAATTTAGCGGCTTTGAGAAATGGCAAAATGATTTACATATTTCCTTTTTTCATAAACGACGCGGTCTCGCATGCAGGGACGTAATGAAGTCTAGGTGCTTTAGAGGAGTCTGGGCGTAAAATTTTCTGATAAATTGGGCGTGGCATGGGCGTTATTTTGGTGTAGTTACTAATATAATACTGAAATTTGTTAAAAATTATCGATAGAGGAACATGAGAGGGGGTCCGTTACTCCCCTAGACCCTGCTAACTACGACACCCCTGCTCATATAACAAACAAACCTTTTTAAAACATTTCTCCATGAATTCCATATGACCACCACCACCAAGAGATAGGGTTTGGTCGACAACGCCACCTTCACCAAGTAGTTCTTTTCGACGTATTGTATTACATGCCAGCAAATCTTTGATATGTGGTAGAAGTAGCTTAAATATGGGGTGTGGGGATGCAAGATTGCGCCATGCCGATACTGCGAACGGTTCTGTGGCCAAGTTAGTGCAGAGTAAATGTGTACAAAGCTGAAAATAGAGGTATACACATACATGAATATTACGCCTTTTTGAAGTCAATACAGGAAAGCACGTCAACATTTGGGTCAAAGACCATTCAATAAAACGTAAATGCGTTGATTTGTGACAATTAGACAATAACTAGAACAAAAAGTTTATTCAATAAAGAAATTTGAATATTCTCAAGCATTCATTAACGTCTTTGGGAGTTCAATGCAAAAAATAAGCGTACAGTAGCGTGGACTTTCTATTCATGCGCACTTATTCATTTCTCATCAGCGCAAAACTGCGATCAATTAAATGAATATATTGTTTATTAGGATTTGTTTGCACGAACGTTCATTCAATAACGTCAATGAGCAGTCATTAAAAAGGTTTTTATTATCAATAGGAGTTTAACTATAACATTGACGTCTTTGGTTCGTTCATTAAACACAAATAATTTTTCAATACAACATAACGTAAAATGAAAATCTACGTGAAAATGCTCTCTGTATACAATCCATTATCAATACACCAAGTGCTGAATACCGGTTATACAGAAGTTATATAAGAGAGTGATCACTGCGATGTAGCAGTTGGATCCTGATGAGGAAGTCATTTTCGTATTGGATGGTGAACCAGCACATAACTATTTCACCAATTCAAGGCTCTCATACTGAATTACAAAAACTACCAGCATACAGTCCATTCGTAAATATAGTGGAGCAAGCTATCAAATCCCTCAGAGAAGCAATACAAGTCAATTTTGCCAGACCTGAAATTTAGCTTTTTGTCAGCAATAGAGTGGGCAGCAAGGAGTCAAGGCTTACAATTATGAGAATTTATGACTCGCCTTCTCTTTTGAAGCACTCCACCGTAATATTAGCACGATAACTGCAGCCACGTGCATCCAATGGTACCGTTTCATGAGACATACATACCACGATGCTTAAACGG